TGGCCACTGTCTCTGCGGGGCCCTTTCTCTCCCAGGCAGCTAAACAGTGGCGTATGGGTTCCTGCTCCTGCCCCTAGTAGTAGCGGTTCAGGCTCCTAGTGCCGGGAACCTCAGGCTGGCCATCCATCCAAATCTCCCTGATGATACGTTCCCGCTCCTCCAGCCGCTGGGCTCGCTCCAGCTCCTCCACCGAGGTGAAGACATTCTTGTTCAAAGTCCTCTCAAAGCGCCGATGTCTCCTGACTGAGATGTCAGATGCTGCATCCAAGCTGCCGTCCTCGCTGTCGCTGCTATTGCTGCTGCTTTCTTGGTCCCTCAGAAGCTTCTGGGAATGCTGACAGCAGTCTGTGTGGCAAGAGATCCTCATCACCAAGGCAGCTAGGGTGAGGACCAGTCCAATACACACACCAGAGACAAAGTACAGAGCTGCTCCCTGGGGATTTTCTGAGACAAAGGAATAGGCGGCTAGGATATTGCTGAGCAAAGCCATGTCCATGCGCTCGGGGATCACCAGTTCCGTGTTGTGGCAGAAGGGCAGCCTCGATGTGACATCCAGAGAAGGCCTCCTGGAGATGCTTTAGCTGGATCAAGGTGGCCACCCTCCCTCTCTTCTCTTCTTCGCCGGAGCCGCCAGCGCGCACTTCCGGGGTCCTGGCTCCGGGTGCTGGGGGCGGAGCCGGGGGACCGGGAGCCGATCCCTGAGAGGAGGACGCAGCAAAGCTGTGGCCAAGGTTGGGGCTGGCACTGGCGGTTCGGAAAGAAACCCCAGGGGAGACCTGTGGGCACGCGGTCCCTGCCTGGGCGCTCACGGGCGGCGCCCACCATATTTTTAAAGTCTCATTTCTTATTTAATTTCTCAGGAACTACTTCTTTATTAATTAATCTTGTTATCAGCTTCCCCAGACTTTGTCCTATGTGTCCTCACTTTCTGATTAGACCTACGTCAGTATCATTTATGATGTTTAGGTTGAAACATCTAATGCTACTGCTGCTAAGTCGCTTCAGTTGTGTCCGACTCTGTGCGACCCCATAGACAGAAGCCCACCAGGCTCCCCCGACCGTGGGATTCTCCAGGCAAGAACAGTGGAGTGGGTTGCCATTTCCTTCTCCAATGCATGGAAGTGAAAAGTGAATGTGAGGTCGCTCAGCCGTGTCCGACTCTTAGCGACCCCATGGACTGCAGCCTGCTAAGCTCCTCCATCCATGGGATTTTCCAGGCAAGAGTACTGGAGTGGGGTGCCATTGCCTTTTCCGAGACATCTAATAGGCCACACTAAAATAAGAAGTGGGCTAAAGAGTGAGAAGGACCCTTGCGGCGCCTCCATTTAAGATGATTTAGGTCAGAAAGCCGTTGTTAGACCGCCGGTCTCCTCTCCATTCAGCGGCTCCGGTGGCTCTTTGTGTTGCTCCTTCCTCTGCACCACAATTCTCTGTCCTCTCATTTTCTCACATTCTCTGGGTTTGTGGTCTGTTCTGCAGGCTGCAGGATCCTAGCTCCTCTTGTGCTGTTGTCTGCCCCCTAGAGGGTGAGGTTGGTCCACAGGCTTGTGCCCCTCTCCCCTTGATCTAGGCTTTGATTGCTGTTACTGTGACCCGAGCCTGCCCTGGATATTGAGGGGAGCTTCCCCATGGCTCTGTGGCTGTCACCGCCCTGTCTGTGGTTGGTCTGCTCCCTGGTTGGTGGAGTAGAAGCCCCCAGATCTGCTTCCTCACTATGATTCTGATCTGTGGTGGAGGCAGGTGGGATTGGACCACAACCCCGGGAGAGAAGCCCCTGAGGACTGCTGCTCTGGGGATGTTCCCCTCGGGGTGTGCTCACGCCTCGTGTGAGTCTCATGTGACCCTGGTCGGCACTGCACGTGGCCCCACCTCAACCATGGGTATCTCTGCACATGGCCCTGGTGTCTCTCAGATGTTGTTTTCACCAAGTCACCAGCATAGATCCAGTGAAATCAGGGCCCAGAATTGGTTTCATGGAGGTGGATCCACTGTGGTGCTATGGGGCAGCTCAGACTCCGGCCTGGCCCCACTCCCTCACATACATCCCCACAAAGTCTACAGTTGCTAAAGCTACACCTCCATGACTGGGGGAGCCCTGGTCGTCCATTCAGATGCTCTATAGGGACTGAGTTGACAAAGTCCGTGGTGGGTGTAAAAACATGGTTTTTGCAGCAGTAAGGTGAGACCTCAGCTTTTCTTCTTAACCCTGGGGCTCAGCTGTGCTTTCAGCTCCATTTATGTGTGTTGCCCGCTCATAGCTGTCTGCTCTAGAGGCTGCCCCAGAGCACAGGGGTCTGCTGACTGTGGAGGAGGTGCGTGGGGGGAGGCCGTGGTGGGGGCTCAATAGAGCCCACCCAGGTGGCAGCCCTTCCTAGTGCCAGGAACGAGGGGCCAGCACAGGGGGAGAGAGGCTGTGGTGGGCTTCTTCCCTTCCGACATCACTCAACAATGGCGCTCTGCTCTACGGTGGTTCAGGCTTCCTCCACAAGCAACCCATTTATAGAGCTCCTCCCTCCCGTCCCCTCATGATGTCTCCTCACAGCCCACAGCAGTCCTCTGCCTGGGTCTGCTCTCCGAAGCCCACGTTCCAGCACCCAGCCCTTGTCTGCAGTGGTGGACACCCTCTCAGGCTGGGTGGGCAGGGCAGGGGTCAGTAAACCGTGTGCAGGTCTCACTCTGTCCTGCTGCCACAGACCGTTGCCATGTTCTCTTCCCACAGAGGATGCGGCTCCCCTTCTGTCCCAACTGGGCTCCCCCCAGTGAGGGGCTTCTCCGGACATGGAGACCTCCTCTCTTCAGATCCCCCAGGGTTGCAGGTCCCATCCCACTTCCTCTCCTCTTCCTTCTTCTTTCTTTGGTCCTACCTGGCTAAGTGGGAATCTTTCTTGTCCTTTTAGGTGTCATAGGTTCTCTGCTAGTGTTAAGAGGGGCCTCTGTGAGAGTTGTTCCATTTCTGATGTATGCTTGATGCATTCGTGGAGAGAGATGAACTCCAAGTCTGCCTAACCCTCTTGCATCTTGATTCTTGTGTCTCTATTTTCTCTACATCTTTAAGGATATTCACTGAGAATAGTAGATTTCATATCTTTTATTTTGATAAACTTTTATTTGGTATCTTTCAGCTGTGTCTTCTCACAACACCCATGCTTTGATGTCAAAGAATCCAAGGTTCGAAAATTTAATCCAAAAGGCAAACGTAGGAACATATGAAAGAGCTCACCTTGGAAATGAACATTTAATGAAAAACCAGGAATATACAGGGGTCTGTGAAAGACCTAGAAGATGTTTATATGGACATAAAGGAACTGAGATGGTTTCACATAATGCAGACATTACTGCCAAAAGAAATGAGCAATGTGAGTCAAATTGGGGAAAACACCCATTTCAGTTATCAACATCTGCAGAGAAGTGTATCTTTTCAAGCAAAGGCTTAAATCACTTTTTGAAACATACACTTTCTCTGAAGGGAAATGTGGAAAATGTGGAAAGTTATCCAGTCTCTAGTGCAAATACTCATTCAAACCACTCTGAACACAGGCTTTGATTACACATACATTCAACCACATCTGAAAACCAGAAATTTAAAACTGATGGGGGAAACTCACAATATAATCAATCTGAGGGATCTGTGAGCAAGGGGTCATTATTCTTCCACCAACAGACAGTTTCTCTCTGTTCCAAAATGTGTAATGTTGATAATAATGAAAGAGTTAATCCCACCAACATTGTTCAATACACATCATGATATGGTTAACATGGAACAACTTCTCACATGTAATAACACGAGTCAGGCCTTAAGTAAGAGCTCTACCCCCAATAATTGCAATAAGATTTACGATGGAGTGAGAAGCTATTCATGCAATGAAACTGGGTCTAAAACTGAACAAGTCTCTAACCCTATGAAACATCAGGGACCTCAATCTTCAGACAAGGATTCTAAAAATAGTACATGTAGGAATATCTTTTATCAAACCTCAGGTCTTCCACTCAAGAAGAGTACACATACAGGAGAGAAGACTTATAATTGTGAATATATTGATATTTCTAATCAGTCTTCAAATCTTACTCAACAGCAGAATATTCAGGATCTGCAGAAAAGTTATAAGTGTAAAAAATGTGAGAAAGCCTTTACTAACTCATCCAGTCTAAGTAGACACAGGAAAATTCATTCAGGATGGAAACCTCTCAAAGGTACAGAGTGTGGCAATGCCTCTAATCAGAATTCAAAGCTTAGTCAAGATTGGCAAATCCACAATGGCAAGAAACCTTATGAATGTAAGGAATGTGGAAAAGCATTTATGTCTTGCTAAAATCTAGGTCAACATCAGCGAATTCATACGGTGGAGAAGCATTATAAATGTACAAAGTGTGGCAAAGTCTTTAATCAGAACTCAAAGCTTACTCAATATTAGCGAATCCATACAGAGCAGAAACCTTACAAAGGTAAGGAAAGTGGCAAAGCCATTTTTAGGTGTTCACAATTCAGTCTGCATCAGCAAGTTCATGCTAGGGAGAAACCAAACAAATGTAAAGAATGTGGCAAAGTGTTTCCTTGTAGCTCATGTCTTACTCAACATCAGATAATTCATAGGCAGCAGAAATGACACAAATGTATGAAGTGTGGCAAAGCCTTTAATCAGAAGTCAAAACTTACTCAACACCAGAGAATTCATACTGGAGAGAAGCCTTATAAATATAAGGATTGTGGCAAAGAATTTAACCAGTGCTCAAGTCTTACTTACCATCAGAGAATTCATACTGGAGAGAAACCTTATAAATGTACAGAATGTGGGAAATCCTTTATTCAGAACTCAACTCTTACTCAACACCCGCGAATTCATACTGGGGAGAGGCCTTATAAATGTAAGGATTGTGGCAAAGACTATAGCAAGCACTCAGGTCTTACTTACCATCAGATAATTCATACTGGAGAGAAACCTTATAAATGTGAAGAATGCGGAAAAGCCTTCGGTCACCACTCACGTCTTATTTAACACCAGCGAATTCATACTGGAGAGAAACCTTACAAATGTAAAGAATGTGGAAAAACCTTTATCAAGAACTCACATCTTACTCAACATCAGAGAATTCATACTGGAAGAAAAACCTTATAAATGTAAGGAAAGTGGCAAAGACTTTAATCAGAGCTCTCACCTTACTAAACATCAGAAAGCACGTGCTAGAAAGAAACTCTAGTAATAAGTGATGGAAGAGGTTTGTCCTAAACATACACTTCAGAAAATACAGGACCGTTTATTTAAGAAAGATAAGAAATGACATAAAACTATGTATAAAAGTATTTAATGAAAATTAAATCTAAATAAATACCAGAAATTTCACACTAGGAAAGTGAAAGTTGCTCAGTCTTATCCAACTCTTTGCAACCTCATGGACTGTGTCCATGGAATTCTCCAGGCCAGAATACTGGAGTGGGAGGCAGATTCTTTACCAACTGAGCTATCAGGGAAGCCCACACACTAGAAAGGATTTCATCAATCCTGTCTTCTGAAGTTCTCTTCAGGAGAAGTATTGTAGATAGTAATCCATAGTTAAAACACACAGAAAATTGATATGTTAGTATGGATCACAACATGAAGGGTTGGTATTTAGAAATGTACAATTATTAGCAATGTATCTTTGTTTATATTGACACGATTTGTGATTATTTGAAAAGCAAGATATGTTATTCAACACTCAAATTACTCCATGCTGCTATGCTTCATTTTTAGTGTGTATGCAAAGTTATGTTTTTGATGATTGCTACTCAAAGATGAAACAAGGCCTTCTATCCGAGAGAGAAATCAATTTATATTTATTCTCCATTAGGAGATTAAGGACACAGTGATGTAGCATGTACACTGAACATTTAAATGGAGGTGTTAGTCATTCATGTTGTATCTTTATAATATCAACAGATGGCATGAAACATATTTGAACATGTTTCAAATAAAGATACCTCTGATACCCTAGGAATGTATGGAAACCCTTTTCAGAAAAGTCATGTAATTAGTGTCCATCTTGTTTCATTCGTAAATGATTCGCCTCCACTTTGTAACTGTAGAAATCACAGTTCTGAGATCATTGTATCAGAGAAATGAATATCATTGTTTATGCTTGTAATCTGTATTTAATCAGTTACACAGTGGATTGGAAAAGGTTTTATTCTGACTTTGTGTGATATTACATGTTAATAAAACTGATGGTTTCTTGTGATAAAGTTGGTGTGTAATGAATGAAGTGTCAACCTACTGATTTAAGGTTGCAGGGAAGAATACCTAACAATAAAGTCTTTGTTAGCGCAGAGGGATGATACCTGTAACAATTAGTTTCCTTGCTGCCTTTAAGCCTCAAATAATTGGATATTTCCCATCATTTCTCCATTGTACTTTCCCCCCCTCTGTAACTGCTGGGACATTGTGATGGGTCCAATAAGGATTATACAGAGTATTGTTGAGCGCTTACCTGAACTGCCCCATGCTGTTGCTGCCTCAGCATCTGTCTGGGGACCAGCATCTGCAGGTCCTTGAACTCACGCCAGCCAGTCCTGTGAGCACCTGCTCTAGACAACCACCCACCTTGTGCTCAGCAGTCTTGCTAAACCCCAGGTTGTACTTCACAGCCCCCCCCCTTCAATGACACCCTCACAGTGCTCATCAGCTTCCCACTCCTCTTGGTTTGAATAGACCCATCCACACTCAGCCTGGGGAGCCCACAGCACTTCATCCAGGGTCTCTTATAAAGGCCTGAACCCCAAGTACTGGAGCATTCTCTGCTTGGTCCTAACCTTGACCTAAGAAATTCTTGCCCTAAACCCTCCTCTCCTGAGAGGTCTCAGCTGTGCTGAGTGTGAGGGCTGAAGCTCAGGGCTCCTGAGTGTGGGTCTTCGGGGAGAAGCATCAGAAGAAGCGGAATTTGCTAAAGACTCATTTCATGGTCCCACTTCAGACCTGCAGATTCATAATTTCTTAGAGTGGGGACCTGACCTCGAGGGGTCCATATTCACTGAAATGGTTCAGGAAGAATCTTTTAAGTGGTTTCAACCTGGTTTCCTATCAAGATCACATGACCAGTGTTAAGTGATAACCTCCCTGGTGCCCTCCCCACAGAGTTCTCTCGGTCCTGTGGGAGCATCACTGTGGTGTGTAGGATGTGCTCCAGGGGATTCTAAGGGGAGGCCAGGATTAAGGACGCGGCTCCTGGTCCGTTTCTGAGAGCTGAGGCCCGGCGTCAGTCCAAGGAGAGGCCGCAGGGTTGGTCCAGCTGGATTTGGACCAGGGGAGTGAGTCAGCTCACATCATCTGTGTGAGCAGAGGGTTAGGAGCTCTCTATGGGGAGAGAACAATCAAGAAATTAGTTCACAGACTGGTCTCCAGGTAGGAAGTGATCGTTCCTGAAACTCTCCTGAGACAGGGAACAGGAGAGGTGGGTCTTTTCAGCTTTTCAAGGTCCTTCTGTCTGTAGTGGTGAAGTAGTTGCAGGTTAAAGAGCTGTGCGGATGCCTTTGAAGGTGTTTTCTCAAGATGCAGAGATACGTTTGCTGCATAACATCCCCAGAGAAGACTCAGAGCAGGAGGAAGAAGAGGAGGAAACGGCAGCTTCTCAGGTACATGTCCTGTCCTGAGTTTGGGGCTGTGTCTGCTTTTCCTCCTGAAATGCCTGGACTGAGGGAACCTGTAAACCTTTAGTTCTTGGCTTCTAATTTTTCTGCCTGGCGTGTTTGTTATCAACTTCTTAATTTCTCCTTTTTTTATCATAGTGAGGACCGGCTCTTTAGACCACTTCTCCCTTGTGTCCCAGAACCTTGTCGCCCTTGTCTGTATCCTGGCTTTCTGTAGAGCATGATGAATTCTCAACCTGAATTAGTGACTTTCAACTGGTGAAAATATTCCCTTTGTGAGAGATCAACATGGGCAGGCATAGGTTCTGAGATTCCCATTGGCATGTGGTTCAGTCTTGGGATCTTAGAGAAGTAGGGGAACTTAGTAATGAATTTACATGTATATCCAACTTCAGATACTTAGAACAGGATTAAGAAACTGTCTTTTTGAATAGAATTACCCCATCCAGAGTTCCACAGGAAGTTTGGGGAAAAGAAGGAGAAAAGTAGGAGAGACCCTTCTCCATATTGGCAGGAAGGACTCACTCTTAAGTGTAGTCTTAGGATACAGAACATGGAAGTTATATAAGAAGTAAATTTTGTTTAAAACATATTTTTCAGGATTCAGATCACTGCTAACATTTATCCCATTACACCTCACGTTTCCTGGTTCAGGTGCTTCTGTGATGTTGCAACTGTGATATTCCTGCTTTTTGTCTTTAAAAGGGATCTTTGAAAGATTCAGTGAGGGATGTGTATAAGTTGCCAAAATTAATGTAGCAAACCGAGCCTTCTTAGTTCTGTTTTCTTTGGAAAATGAACACACCTGCATTTAGTCAGGTTCTTGCGTTTGGGGAATGAAGGTTTTCATCACTCAAGCCCAGGTCTGATCATTTCCGTTAGTAATATACTCCGTACTCATTTTCCAGACAGAATTCTTATCACATCTTTGCATTTTCTACAATATTTACAAGAATGTTATTACTTATGCATATTTAACTGTTAAGTCTAAAATATAATTCAACACAAATGATAGAAATTTTCAAAGGAATAAAAGATTCAGAACCAAGAGGTCTAATTTATTTTATGTCATTATGTGTTTTTGCACTGTAATATATTTTTAAAATATAGAATATTGCCACACATAAATTATAAGATTTAAGCGCAGAAATCTATTCCTGATTTTATAAACATGAATAATTTTTCTCCCAAATAGTGTACGTTTGTGTGCATGAAAATGTTAACAGTATATGACATTTTTTCTGGTTTTGATATTTTTGCCAGTTACCTCAACTGGTAAAACATACATTAGAGTGGTCTCTGTGTTCAGTTCAGTTCAGTCGCTCAGTCAGGTCTCTGTGTTGACTTAAATCTTTTTACATAAAATCGAGCTCAGATCCATTAAAGTAAATCCCAAGCTCTACCATTTTCTGAATATTTGATCAAATATTCCAAACAATTTTAAACAGCAATATTTTTGATCTGAAATTATTTATGTGGCTCATTCAAGGTTAAAGAATAAGAAACTGTTAGCTTATTCAACCTTATGACTGTTGAGTCCGTGACGCCATCCAACCATCTCATCCTCTGTCATCCCCTTCTCCTCCCGCCTTCAATCTTTCCCAGCATCAGGGTCTTTTCAAATGAGTCAGTTCTTCACATCAGGTGGCCAAGGTATTGGAGTTTCAGCTTCAGCATCAATCCTTCCAATGAATATTCAGGACTGGTCTTCTTTAGGATGGACTGATTGGATCTTCTTGCAGTCCAAGGGACTCTCAAGAGTCTTCTCCAACACCACAGTTCAAAAGCATCAATTCTTTGGCTCTCAGCTTTCTTTATAGTCCAACTCTCACATCCATATATGACTACTAGAAAAAAACATAGCTTTGACTAGACAGACCTTTGTTGACAAAGTAATGTCTCTGTTTTTTTATATGCTGTCTAAGTTGGTCATAGTTTTTCTTCTAAGGAGTAAGCGTCTTTTAATTTCATCGCTGCAGTCACCATCTGCAGTGATTTTTGGAGCCCGAAACAATAAAGTCTCTCACTGTTTCCGTTGTTCCCCCATCTATTCGCCATGAAGTGATGAGACTGGATGCCATGGCTATCGGCCATGGATCTTTTACCTCCGTGCTATTCACAATGGCCATTTATCAACCCGACATTTAGTTAAAACTAAGCTTGTTCAAGATGAAAAACTGTGCCCCACCCTAGAATTCTTGAATCACAATGTGCTTTTAAAAAGATTCCTGCTTTGATTGATAATGAGTGATGTTGAGCATCTTTTCATGTGTTTTTTTTGCCAGCCGTATGTCTTCTTTGGAGAAATGTCTGTTTAGTTCTTTGGCCCATTTTTTGATTGGGTCATTTATTTTTCTGGAGTTGAGCTGGAGGAGTTGCTTGTATATTTTTGAGATTAACCCTCTGTCTGTTTCTTCATTTGCTATTATTTTCTCCCAATCTGAGGGCTGTCTTTTCACCTTGCTTATAGTTTCCTTTGTTGTGCAAAAGCTTTTA